ATTTGTGTTGTGAGGCTTTACAGCGGTGCTTCCGGAAACAGCGGCGCAATGTGATCTACTGCGCAAGGATGGTAGCATCAAGTCTTGTCTATTTATCCAACTCGCTGCTTCATAGCAAGACGTCATCACTGGATACGTTCGCCCATAAATCATTTTTCCATACAATTTCGTGTCGTTCAGAATGCTAGGACGATTCCCCTCGTTCCATTTGGGAGAATAATTCCAACCCTATCTTGAACACCGCCCTGAATTTAATCCAAGAAATCTGATCTAGACGTTACCACTAGGAAAGAACTGGAATCGCAGTCGTGTGCTTAGTATCTATTAGGAGAACTAGCTCCGAACATAACGGAAATTATAAACTTTCTCGATGTATTTCCGATGTGTGGACCGTTTGCTGCTGCTCATATTTCACTAATCGTTGGTACAGCACGTCGGACATTGTGCGGCTGATCATGATGGTCTACTGATGTCTCTCACGTGAAACACGTAAGTTCTACGGTTGCTCAAGCTGTTGCGTTGTCAAAACATCCCACGCATTATAGATCTATTAAAAGCGCACTCATTTAACGCCTGAACCAGCACTCCTAGATCCCTCTGACAGGACGAGACATAATTGCAAACCTTTAGCGGTGCGACGACTACGCTGAGATTGGATCCAGAGAGTATGTGGTGTTTCCGCGTATTAGAGGAAAAAGAACTCTCGAATATGTTACTTTTGAAATGGTGAAAACTCACATGTGGCTAAACTATTAAAAAACTGAAGAGTTTGTCAGATAAATTCGTTACCCGAAACTTTCGCCAGGTTAGTATTCCTGTGCAGTAAATAACCTTTTCTTCAGATCGTTTGGAAGTGACGTTTAGCTTCAATATTAAAGTCACATAACGTTCGCCAAAATAGCTAAATAGTTCACCAAAGTAGTGCATGTATCATTGCATTGCATTGCTCGCCGATTGTGTAGAGCCCTCTGTGTTGATTGGTCTCAGGCTAGTTTACAGCTCAAAGTTTCTCAGATGTATTTTGTCAGGGCGGTTACGAGAAGCCACTACTAGCGTTTGGTGATGCAAATGTGAGAAATATGTATCGACGAGCGTAGCATCAATGCACAACTTTTCAGTCCCTGAAACGAGTCACAAATGTTCAGGTGGATCTCACTGTACCGTTTCCTGACTGATGAATCAGGACTAGACTGGTTGTTCACTCGCTGGTGATCGGTAGTTTAAATTTCACTGTGCCTAATTATGTGTTTGCTGGTTCCCGAG